TTGAGGTTTTTTTTTTTTTTTTTTTTTTTTTTTTTTTTTTTTTTTGTTGTTGTTGTTGTTGTTGTTGTTGTAAAGGCTGACTTAGGGTTTAATTATAGTTTAGCTTGTTGTTCAAGAGTACTAGTTGATTTTGAATTAATTGATTTTTAATCTGGTAATTATTATGTAATCAAATAAGCAGATTAAAATGTGTGAGCTTGAATAATTATTCAGTATAACGAGAAGATTCTCTTTCTTGTATAGTTAACTTGAAAACTTGGTAAAAGAACATCATCTAACAGAATATCATGTAATAGATATCAAAATTTACATGTATTTTAGTTACTTAATATAATGCTTATGCATATTGTGCAAACTGATTTCCTTTATTCTTACCCAAAAAGGAAAATATTTCAAAGATCAAAGATTATGTTAGTTACAACCTGATTTTAAACTTTTGTGGTCTTATATATTAATGGAATTGCCTTCTGGGATTTAACTGTTTGTTTTCTCTTCTAACAGGTTGAAGTAAGGGGCCGACGTAAAGTTCTTGTATTGGTATATCAGAGTCTGGGCATGGTTTTTGGTGACTTGAGCCTTTCCCCACTTTATGTTTATAGAAGTACATTTTCCGGAAGGTTGGGCAATTACCAAACTGAAGACACAGTATTTGGAGCATTTTCTGTGATTTTTTGGACTCTCACTCTTATTTCGCTGTTCAAGTATGTTCTTATCCTGTTGAGTGCAGATGATAACGGTGAAGGTTAGATCTGATAATTTTCTCTCTGGTACTATACATACTATATTCCTTTTTTTATATTTTTAAGCTTCTTAATTATATAGTTGTCTTTCAGGTGGGATTATTGCATTATACTCGCTTCTCAGCAGAAATGCGAAATTCTGCTTACTACCTAACCATCAAGCATCTGATGAGGAGATCTCTACGTATAATTACCCAGGTAACTCAAGCAGAAATCTATCATCATCATCATTGTTGAGAAGATTTATTGAGAGGCACAAAGAATCAAAAACCAGTCTACTTGTTCTAGTTTTGTTGGGAGCTTGTATGGTAATTAGTATTGGTGCTCTTGCACCTGCAATTTCAGGTAAAGGCACTACTCTTTTTTTTTTTTTTATTTAAATCTTCCAGGTTGTCAGAAATACTTATACAGAGATTTTGATTGATTTTATGCAAATCATGTTTCAGTTTTTTCTTCCATTGAAGGGCTAAAATTTCGATCAAAGGATGTACATAGCAGTAAGTCTCGGAATGAATTTTGTTTTCCTCGCTGCCCTCAAATTATAGAATCATTATTTTGTGCCCTTAGTGCCTTTCAAGTTACTAAATGCTCTTTATAACAATGCAGATACCGTGGTTATTATCGCCTGCTTTCTATTGGTTCTCCTTTTTGTCTTGCAACACCGTGGGTTCCACAAGTTGGCATTCATGTTTACTCCCATTGTGATTCTATGGTTGCTGTCCATTGCTGCTGTTGGAATCTATAATATTCTTAGGTGGAATCCAGTTGTATATCGGGCTCTTTCTCCATATTATGGTTACAATTTTTTTAAGCTTACAGGAAAAGATGGTTTTATTTCTCTTGGAGGAATACTTTTATGTCTTACTGGTAAATATTAAGTGTGAACCTTTTTTCCCCCCTTCATCTAGCTTTGTTCGAGACCTATTCATGTTCTATTTATTTCACGTTTTCTTGTAATCTGCAGGAAGTGAAGCTATGTTTGCAAATCTTGGCCACTTCACTGCAACATCAATCAGGGTATGCACAACCAGCGGTTGCAAAAGGAAACTTTTATTTCTTGCTAGTTATGTGAACAAAATGTGATGAAATACGATGAAGGAATTTACCATTGTTCTAACAATTTAGGCTAGGCTTCCAAACACAAATAAAGTTGTTAGTTCCCAAAGTGAACCTGAATTACTTAGGGTTTAAGGTTAATTTGAGTTTTTGACTCTAGGTGCTGTCTTTAAAAGAAACTCTGCTGATCTAATCTGTGGCAACCTATCAACGTTCACATTAAAATGCATAGAAGCTAACTTTATTTTGTTCATCTTGTCTTTTTATACGTTGTAATGGGTCCTGTCTTTGTCAGGCCTGGAAGGTTGATTCTGAATATGGGCCTCCCTTAAAATAATTTCTATATGTCGTTGCTGCTCTCTAAAATTGAAACATGTCATGTACATGTTTGCTTAAACAGCCAAGACTTTTACCAAATCATTTTTGGAAAAAAAAAAAAAGGCCTTTACATCTCGCTGTTTCACTCTCTGGATTGCTCTTAAGGCAAACCGACTAATGGCCTTAGATATTATTATATGTTTTTCGTAACCTTTTTAAGAGAAGGGGTTTGAGTGTCTTGTCATTGTTGGCTTGAATAACAGTTGAACAAATCCTACTTTTAGATTATTCCTCTTGAAAAGTGAAGGCTATGCTTCAAGTCGTTACTTTGCAGCTTTATTTTGTATCAGTACTTATTCTGAACCATTCGCTTAAGTTAGCTGATCCTGTTGTTTTTGCTTTATTTTCATTTCTATGATTTAATGCTGCATTGCAGGTTGCATTTACTTGTGTTATTTATCCATGTTTGATACTTAAGTACTTATTCTGAACCATTCGCTTAAGTTAGCTGATCCTGCTGTTTTTGCTTTATTTTCATTTCTATGACTGAATGCTGCATTGTAGGTTGCATTTACTTGTGTTATTTATCCATGTTTGATACTTAAGTACTTATTCTGAACCATTCGCTTAAGTTAGCTGATCCTGCTGTTTTTGCTTTATTTTCATTTCTATGACTGAATGCTGCATTGCAGGTTGCATTTACTTGTGTTATTTATCCATGTTTGATACTTCAATACATGGGGCAAGCTGCCTTTCTCTCAAAGAATTTATCTGCAGCACCTATGAGCTTTTTTGCTTCTGTTCCTGGTAAGCATATCTGCGTGCGCAGATGTTTATTGCAATAATCTTTCTATACAATCTGTAAAATGTGTAGAAGGTATTATGAGGATTTGTGCAATTATGAGGCATTGCACACACTCTATAAATGCAACACACCACATATTTAAGTCATGAATTTCATGGTTAGTATTATTCTCTCACGTTTGTTCCGACTTAAGTATTATTTGAGAGGGGGGCGTCCAGACTTCAGAGATTGGTTCATACCATTTGGTTTTTCTGTCCTTGTGATCAAGGAACAATAATGTATTATATGTTTTGGTGCTTTTATTAATTATTATTTAAGATGCGTTTCCTAAAGACCTATTAACTAATTTGTTTACAGAATATTCTTGCCGTGTTTGTAGATACCTTCTTTTGGCCAGTTTTTTTTGTGGTAACTTTGGCTGGAATAGTTGCTAGTCAAGCAGTTATCTCTACCACGTTCTCAGTTGTCAAAGAGTGCCATGCATTTGGATGTTTCCCACGTGTCAAGATTGTACATAGCAGGAGATGGCTTCCTGGTCAGATATACATTCCAGAGATAAACTGGATCCTGATGGTTCTCAGTCTCGCTGTTACAATGGGATTTCGAAGCACAAAGCTTATAGGAAATGCTTATGGTAGGTCATCTTTGCTATGAATAATCTGAAACCTATAACTATATGTTTCTAATTGTTGTTCATGGGTTGTATGCCGTTTCTACTGCTCTTGTTAATTCCACCAATGAGCACGTTTTGTATACCTTCCATGTCTGAACTCGGCCGTTTGCCCCAAAAACCCTGATTTATATTAATCTGATTTGGTAAGTTGGACTAGGTGACGGTATGCATGATGTGGCCATGATAAAGTAATGAATAGCATGTGTGTACATGAACGGACTTAGCTTATAACTAAATCATTTGATACATTCTGAACGCTTTTTCGATCCAAAATGATTTGAAATGCACATATGTTGATTTTGGTGATTGGGTCAACATTATCAATTTTTTTTTCCTTACCCTTTTCTTTTATTCATATCTAATCTTGCTATGATGCTATCTCTATTCAGGCATTGCGTATATGACTTTAGCAATAGTGACAACATGGTTGACATTTCTGGTCATCAACCTTGTGTGGCAGAAGTCCCTCGTGCTTGCCCTTTTATTCACAGTGCTCTTTGGATCGGTTGATATTTTCTACTTCTCCTCTTCTTGTATGAGAATCCCGAAAGGTGGATGGGTTCCTCTAGCATTTGCTTTGATCTTCTTGCTCACTATGTATGCATGGCATTATGGTTTGAGGAATAAATATTTGTACGATCAACATACCAAACTCTCCATGAGGTGGATTCTCTCACTGGGTCCTAGTCTTGGGATCATTAGAGTTCCTGGGATTGGTCTTATCTACACTGAGTTAGCTAGTGGAGTCCCCGCTACTTTTACTCACTTCGTAACGACTTTACCGGCCTTTTACCAAGTGGTTGTCTTTGTCTGTGTTAAAACTGTTCCTGTTTCTCATGTACCCCATAAAGAGAGGTATCTCATTGGTCGGATTGGTCCCAAATCCTATCGGCTGTACCGCTGTATTATCCGGAATGGTTATAAAGATACATACAGAGATGGAGATGACTTAGAAAATGATCTAGTGATGAGCATAGCAGAATTCATCCAGATGGAAGCGGAAGGTTGTGGGGCTGTTGACGGCTCTGTGGATGGCCGGATGGCAGTTGTGAAGACATCTGAAAAGTTTGGTACAAGATTAGCGATAGCAGACTTGTTTGGTCCTGGAGGAAGCAGTAGTTCGCACCCAACAGTGGTTGTGAGTGGCTACAAGTCACCCACGCTTCAGAATTTGCAGGCTAGTTATGAGCAAGAATCACCCCAACTCAACTGTAGGAAGCGGGTTCGGTTTGAGTTGCTGGATACAAATTACAAGGATCCTCGCGTCAAGGAAGAGCTTTTGGAGCTTGTTGCAGCCAAATGTGCTGGGGTGACTTATATTATAGGCCACTCGCATATAAAGGCAAGGTCAAATTCACCATTTTTGCACAGATTTGCAGTCAATGTGGTGTATTCTTTCCTCCGTAAAAACTGCCGATCTCCTGCCGTGGCCTTGAATATTCCTCGTATATGTTTGATTGAGGTGGGAATGAACTACAATATGTAGTGCAAAGCTCTCTAGATGGTTACCATTTTCTGAAAAATTGTACAGCAGAAAGCAAAACTTGCTTGAACAGTTTCAGATTTGCGTGTGTTCAACTGATTCATGGCTCTCGCTTTGCATACGGCATGCCATCTAGTCGAGCTGTTCAGTGAATCTTTGCTATTTGGATTCCATTTTCGAGAGAATCTCATAAAGGGTCTTTCTGTCAAAGACTAATTTCAAAATGCTGAATCCCAAAATATCATTCCAATATGCATGGGAAAGGCCTGTTCATTTCGCTAATTCAAATAATAATTTAAATTTTTACTACAGTATTTTCTTTCACAAAAATTCAAATTTAACCTTTTTTATTACAGTATAATAATTTAAATTTTTACTATGTGGCATCAAATTGGACCTGCTCTTTGTTGAAATATTACTACTCTACTTTGGGTTTTAAACTGTGGATAAAACTATTTAAAGGATACCAAAACTTGGATTGTAAATTTAATCGGGAATCTCTAAAGTATGATAAACCTGAGAAAATTCTAAAATTCATGAAGAAAATAATTTTAAACTAGTATTATCTACTTTTATATTCCTAATGTTCCTTTAAATTTTTTGCTCTAAATTTTTGTTTTCATTTTTTTACCAATTATATTTACTTCTATCATTTTCCTTTTTTGGTGAATAAAAAGTGTGAGGAAGAGCGACCAATCATAGTTAGCTCTTAGGATGTGAACGTAAGGACCTCCACACGTTAAGAAATGTTCATATTGAGTTATAATTACTTATGTCAAGAAACAAAACATAACATTTTAAGAAAATTTTTAAAAATATCCATTGAAATGGAGTCTTTTTTTATTTCTATCACTTAAACATTAGTTCATATATTTTTACCTTTTAGACTAAAACTAGTTAAGAGATAGAGTTTTTTAACATTAATATTTTTAATAAGTCGGGTACTTAAAAAGATAAAATCTATAATTTTTTTGGCATATTTTATTAAGTCGGTGGCTTAAACATACAAGCACTTTACAGATATCTTGAAGTTGGTCTATCAAATCAAAACAAATAAGCACAATGCCACTAGGCTAAGTACATTTATTTTCTTGATTAGTTATGAGTTCATCCGGTTAATCTGCCCTAAATTAAGTGCTAGATTCCTGGCCAGACGAGGGAAATTCCTTGGAAAAGAGGTTTCCCCAAACACAGACGAAATCCAATTTTCAAGTCTCAACCACAAATTACCCAATAATGCCTAGTACACGTGTATACACCTCACCTATATATACACACAGAAGAAATATCCATGTGTCATTATTAATTAATCACACTTGTGATTTAACCCCAGAGGGAATTGGTAAACGATATATCTAAAGGTGTTTCCAAACACCCCCTCAAGTCCACCTAATTTCCCAGCCAGAAAATATATATACACATATATACACATTCTTTTTTCTTCCCCACCAACATTTCAATAATAAATTCAAAAAAGAAAAAAAATCTAGCCAAACGGAGTAATCTGTTTCGTTTTTCCTATGGGAAAATTAGTAGCTTGACTCAACTCAATCAAACTTCAAGCCGTCAAACACGAAAGCGTACAGTACGGCCTCTCCGATGCGCACATTTCTCGGAACCTTCGAGAATCGGATTCCGAGTCTCTGACTCGCTTCTCGCAAACGGAGATTCGATTTCGAAGCGATTAAGAATGTTGAGCTCGTCCTACTCTCAGGCTCTCCTCCGCCGCCCCTTTCTCCCTCCGGCGACTTCGATTCCTAGGGTTTCGAACCGCCCCAGAGACAGGTTTTCGATCACTCGCAGCCTTCGGATCTTCGAATCTCATTCCAGGCCTTCGAACAAGGTTAGTTTTTTTTTAATATATATATCTATATATATATATATCGAATCAATCTTAATATACTTGGATTTGTATCTGTTAATTGATTCTGTTCGGTTGAATATTGGTGTTTCTTTTTCGGATAATTTTGTGTGTAGCCCAATTTGGTTAAGGGACAAAGAAAATTGATGTTTCGTGATATATTCCATAAAATTCAGGATTTGATTCTCATTTTGTTCGTATTCTGTTTCGTACTAAAGAAAAAGAAAATTCTATAGCTTGTAAATGCTGTCAACTCTTGTGTTAGTTGAATAGTATTTGATAAGTATTCTTCAGTTATTTGAGAAAAGTAGGAGGCGAAAAAACAGGAATTTTGCTGTTTTTGAGTAGTGTTACTGAAATTGTTACTTTTTTTTTTGCTTGTTTATATTTATTGTGTTCGAGAAAATTAAACATTAAAAAAGACAAGGAATTTAATTCATATACATTTGTTGGCTTACTCTACAGGGAGGGAAAAGAATTTCATGTTTTAGACATCAGGATTTTTCGTCTGAAACCAAAAAGTCTGAATACATTGAACATGCTGCGCCTGAGGAAGCCGTCAAGTCTGAAACTCAGAAATCAGAGTACATCGAACTTACTGCTTCCGTGGAAGTCGTTAAGTCTGAGTGCAACGATTCAGAGGCAGGGAAAAAGAATTTGCCGTCTCGGATTTGGGAGGTAACATTTTACTTGGTTTTATGTGACAAGTTCAAATGTTTGATTTCTTTCATTGGCGTTCTTGATTCTGGTTTTAGTTGTATGCCAAATTCTTTGTGAGACATGTTAAATAGCCAAATTCTGACTATCTCATCAAGCAAAGAGATTCTCTCTTATATCGATGCCACACTGATGTACAATGTTTTTTAAATTCATTCGCAGATGCATTTTACTTCATTACATTGCGTGTGTGGTATTCTGTAGTTGTACGCTATAAGGTTAAATAATTGAAAGCCTTGGTGTGATTATGCTAAGAGTTTCAACTTTCAACATAAATGAGACTCCAAAAAATGTAATTCTAACTTGTAATAATGAAGAGGACTTGAATATTTGTTGAGCTGCATAGATAGTAAATTTTAATTGTTGTAAACTGGTGCTGACTGCTGAGGAGGTTGGGTTTGTCCGCTGGTCATTAACTCCAGCAAGTTTCCAAACCATGATAAATATCATCTCTCACTTCCCCACCTGAAATTTTTGAATCAATAAGTTCAAGGGCTGTACATATCTGGCAACGCATACTTGCATAAAGAGTATTGAATACCAGATATTATGGTATTCTTTTTATATGTTTGAAAATAGTAGTTCAGTTATTTGTCCAGACAACGACAATCTGACCATGTGATAAATTGTCATCATTATGCATAAACAGATAAAGCATTTATCATGCAAAATATTTTCACTGTCTTCCACTTCAGCTTGCAGTTGCGGTTTTTAGGTCAATTGAGAGCCGGTGGACTGTGCCGTGGACATTAGAGACCATATTGCAGGTTAGTGTTTTGACCTAAATGATGTGCGATGAATGTTTGAAGTCTAAGGAAACTAGTAAGTGAGGTTATTGTAACCATTAAGTGCTTTAAACGTAAAACTAAAAACCTCTAGAGTATAATAGATGCCAACGTTTTGGCTAAAGATTCCAGAACTTCTTAGAAAGCATACTCTGAAACTTGGATATCAAGCTTTTTCACTGGCTTCTATTTTTTTAATACACACACACACACACACACATATACATATATATATATAGATATAAATGTCCTACTTCTAAACCATTCAAATTAGGGTTGACTTTAATCTTAGCATATAAAAGTTGATTTTTATTTGAAGATAATGCGGGTCCTAATTGCAGTAACTGGTGATGCAGGTTATGCTTCTTTGGGTTGCTGCGTTTTGTTTCATAGGTTCTTCGATGGTCCCATTTGCAGCCCATTTGACGGGCCTCAGTAGGGAATCGCTAACGCTTAGAGGACAAGCCTTGTTCAGCTTGTTGACTGATATAACCGAAGGTCTTGCTGGAATAATGATTCTTCTTCGTTGCTTGTCTCGGTTTCGGCCTCTTCCTCCAGATTGGTTTAGATTTAGCTTCAAAGGAAACTGGTACATTGATGTTGTTCTCGGATGCCTTATGTTTCCCCTTGTTAATGGGCTCTCGCACTTCAATCTTAAACTCTTGCCTATCTTGCCTTCGACGCCTGTCACTCTGTCAAGTGTTGAGCAGTCAGTATTGGCATGTGACCGAGTAGCAATGGCACTGTATGTAATAGTAGTATCAGTTTGTGCTCCTGTATGGGAGGAGATAGTCTTTAGGGGCTTTCTTCTTCCCTCCTTGACGAAATACATGCCTGTATGGTGTGCAATACTGGTGAGCTCCGTTGTCTTTGCTTTAGCGCATTTCAACATACAAAGGATGCTCCCGCTTATTTTTCTTGGGGTGGTGATGGGTGCTGTTTTTGCGCGGTCAAGGAATCTATTGCCGTCAATGCTCTTGCATAGCCTTTGGAATAGCTTTGTGTTTCTGGACTTGATGAAGTAGCTGCTGCACATATACTTTCTTATAGTCTGGTTGATATTTGACAAACCCATTTCAGAAAAATAGTCTATTAAGGTCAAATTTGTGGCAAGCACTGCAATCTGTCCTAGGGTTATGAGCCCCCTCCGAGGCTGGTCTGCTTGCGCTGTCTGAATAATTTTAGATCAATCACGTCCAAAGGATGCAGTATAACTCCCAGTAACTGATTGCAAGTTTGTCAATGCTCAAAGGTTTGGGAGGAAACTTGGTATTTCAGGAGGATCAGTTAGCAATTTCATCTTCTTGATGATAAATGGCATGTGGGCAAAGGGAAGAGAGAACTTTTTGTAAATCATCATTTTCTGTAGGAGATCTTTGAAGCTTACAAAGTTCTTGTAGTTTGATAAGTCCCTTGTTTATTTCTTCTCCCCCCTCAAATTCTTTTTATGGAATAGTGATGCAAATCTCAATGAGAAAAAAAAAAAGACTAATTAATTTATTTGCAATATAACGGAATTTGAATGTAAAGGGTACTTGATTTTCTGTCTGATGATAATATTGTTGTACATTAGAAGGTCAAGAATTTCTTGAGACAAAAGGGACAAGAACACGAAGGTATGTGAGTACAGTGGATGTCCTACTTTGACGATCTTTGGTGACTGATTCTTGTGTCGTACGTAGTGATATTGTATGCCGGAATAGTTTGGCTGTGACCTTTTTGAACAGATGGACTCTTGCTGCTCTTAGAAAATTGCCGATTGCATTCAGTCGGAGAAAGACTTGACGAGAAGTAAAGAAACGGGTAAAAGCGGGGTTTAAGAAGGGAAGGCCCTCAAAAGAAAAAATAACAAAAATTAATGAACAAATAAAAATAAATAAAAGCCTTGTGGAAACAAAGGCTTTTTTTATTTTTTATTTTTGGCAGAAAGAAACAAGGATTAAACTTGTTAATCAAACAGAGGGAAAAAGAGGAGGAATCTTATTCATGCAAATTTTTTAAAAAATAATAATAATAATAATATATTAAATAAAAAATAAAAATAAATACAAATACAAACAGTTGCAAAATGTCAGAAGTGGGATTTGAACCCACGCCCTCTTTCGAAGACCAGAACTTGAGTCTGGCGCCTTAGACCACTCGGCCATCCTGACTTGATGCATACTTCTTGCAATTATTATATATTTGTAAATTAAAACTAAGGCAGTATATGTGTTTAAGATCTTGAACAATGGTGCAATGTCGACGCACAAAAGACAAATTTTTTGCTAATCAACACAAAAGAGAAATTGAAACGAATGTCCCTTAATTTTCAATTTTTCATCCTTTTAGCTACTAGCTTTTTCTTAACAAAACGAAAGCTATAAGTGCGTTTAGTTGGTGGATTCGTATCATGGTTCAGATCATAGTTTGTAGCTCGCTACAATATTTTTTATTATAAAAAAACACACTAAATCAAGAATGATTTTGAATTATGATTTTAAATTTATGAACCAAACGTCCATTACGTGTTTGTGGTCAGAATATATCTTCCTCGCTCTGACACCTGTAAGGCATTGTTCACCACTAATGTTGATCTTGTTTTCATGCACGTCTTTTCTGAATGCAAAATCCCCTCTAAGGCCTCCTTCTGTCTTTAAGGGCCATCTTTATATGTCCAAAGTCATGTACCTATTAGTATAGCAAGACAAAACGAGTTGGTGTCCGATCATGGAAAATAACAGTACTAGACAAATGAACATTACTTGCTCACAACACAATTTCGTTCCTGAATGCTTTGAGATTTAAGTGCTTTTGTAGTTGTAGACTTTTTGTATTTCTAGAAAACAAAAACAAAAAATAGAAAAAAAGAAAGAATGAGATTATTTTATGTGATTCGATAATTTATCTACGTTTATGGATCAAGAAGTCCATTCATTTAATTATTCTCTTATAATTTATAATGAGTTTGTAATAATTTCCCCTATTATGTTAAGTTTTCTAAATTTACCTAAATTAAGACTTTGACAAATCTCAACACTTTCTCTTAAGTTAGTGCATACCAACTTAGAAAATAGAAGTGGTGGAGACAATAAATCTTCAACAACGCTCTTCAACAGTGCTCTTCAATAGGATCATGAATCATTTTTTTTACTGCAATTTACCGATATACAATCTTCGACGTCGCTCTTCATGAAACTGCAATTTCATTTAATTGTTGTTTGCTGTTTTGCTTTGTTGTTTTGCTATTTTGCTTCCTTTTTTTTTTTTGTTATTTTGCTCCTTTTTTTTTTTTTTCCTTTTTTACGCTTTTTCAATTTTTTTTTATATCCAATATTTTTTAACTTTTTTTTTGTTTTTCTTATATCAACCAATCATTTCCTTTTTTTCTTTCAGTTTTTTTTTTCAATATACTTTTTTCTTTTTTTCCTTTTTCACTTTTTTTTCTTTTTTTTCAAATATTGTTAAAACGTAAATGACCACATACACATGAAACAAGAACACAAACGACAAAGAACAACACTGAATCAAGGAATACATGAACGACTCTATGGCTGGAAAAACAATAGAACTTTCGAGGCCAGCAGATGGTGATTATTGCTAACGGACTTTGACTTGGACTTAAAAATTGCAGAGGTTGGCAAAGTTTCTTTTTTTTTTTTTTTTTTTTTTTTTTTTAATTGAAGGTTTTTTAATCCAACAAAATAGATTCAAGA